TGATATCTACTTGGAACTGTAAAAGGGCGACTCCATTTCATGACCAAAGGCACGGGGGCAAGCGGAAGTTTAATCGGCTTATATTTTGCCTTCTCTGGTTTCTCTACTGAGGAGGAAGAGAACTCTTCCATGTGCACCCATCAGAAACCTGGCGCCGCGCCTGCAAGGGACAGTCCCCTGACCTGCACGGGGCCGGATTTCCAACAAGGCCAACCGAGGCCCGGCCTCGGGGGAGCAGTGAGAAGAGGGGCAGCAGGGGTGTGGAATTCCTATTGCCCGACGCCCGGGACATGCAGTTCCGGGCACCGGGTGGGTAGTAATCTACATGTAGCCCGGCTTTGGGCAAGCAGAGCTAAATGTACAGCGGGGGAAGCCGCCTCTTGTTTTGTACAAGTGATCCCGGCAATGTTGCCGAGATCACTTGTATGCAGCCTGCATATTGGGGCATTGGGGCAGCAGAGAGAGTAAATCCGGCCCTGGACCTGCAACAGTAATCTCTAGAGCCTTGGTTCTCAACTGGTGGGTCGCAACCCCGTCTTCAGTGGGTCGCCGCATGCCTTGCACTTTTCTAGTCGACAGGCTTCTCAGCCGCTCCCTAGCGCAGCGCTGTCAGTTCTCGCTCCGAGCAGCCATTCATATGCCAAGTGTCAGCTTGAGGTGGGGTGGGCTGGAGCTATGCCTGCAACAAAGCTCCATCCATACTTGCATTGCTTCCATCTTCCTCGCATGTCCTTTCATGAAAAAAGTGTGCCTTTGCACAAAAAAGGTTGAAAAACACTGCTATAGAGGTGCCTGGACCGGAGTGACATCACATTCCAGCTCCCGGCACCTCTACAGGGCCAGCAAGGGAGCTGCACAAGCAATGCACATATGGATGGAGCTTTTTTTTTTTTTGGGGAGTGTGTGTGTGGGTGTGTGTGTGTGTGTGTGTGTGTGTGTGTGTGTGTGTGTGTGTGTGTGTGTGTGTGTGCCTGTCAGTGTTTTTTGAGGGCCCGTTCACACTAGTTCATTGCGTTAATCGAACAGTCCTGTGCCGTGCAATCGCACCTACTACGTGTTCTGGTGTGGGAGGCGCCTCGTGTTGCCATTCATTTGTGTGGCGCCCGGAAACACACCTCCGGGCCCACAGTTCAATCGCCCCGCACCGCCACACGTGGTACCGCAATGCCGTGCATTTTATTGAAGTGTGCTTTGGGTTCGCAATGTAACGACCGAGGACAAATGTGGGTCCTGAGGTTACACTGGCTGAGAACCGCTGCTGTAGAAGTTTCTTTATTGCCCTCTGCATCATGTCCCCAGCCTCACCTATCTTTTTCTATCCTGCTCGTGAACGGCCATGATCTCTTCTCTTAACTTTTTTGACTTAAGGCTGGCCATACACCTTACAACCATCGCAAGACTTTTGTCTTGCGATGGTTGTAAGGTAATAAAAAAATAAAATTAAAAAAACCTACGATCTGCCCATATTTGGACAGGCAGATCGTACTTGCGATCATCGCAAGCCCGCCCCGCTGAGGGGCGGGCTTCCGATGACTGCAAAGCTGAACGGGCAGTGTGTGCTTGCGCACACCGGCACTTGTCTTACGAGCACGCCACAAACCCGCCGCACATCTTCATGTACGCACATACAAAATGTGCACAACGGCATATACAGTAAAACAGCAAAAAGTTTTCCCGGCACACTCACCAGCCGGCATGTGCAAAAAAATTGTCTCACCGCTAAGGTCAAAAACAGAGGTTTAGATACTCGTCTTCTGCAGAAAACGTGATAGCCGCGCCAAGGCACCTCCTATAGTGCGGTCCTAACTCTAACCTACGAGAGTCTCCATCTTGCAGCACATGGGTCATAAGATAAAATTGGGTGCAGGTGTCAGGAGGAAGCCCAACCCCCCTTAACAAAAGGCACAGGCACGCACAAGGGACCCCGCACATCAACGGCATTGGGATGTGCAGGATCCCTTGTATGTTCCTGTGCCTTTAAGGGAGGTTGGGCTTCCTCCTGACAAACCTGCACCCAGTTTGATCTTATGACCCATGTGCTCCAAGATGGAGACTCTCGTAGGTTAGTTAGGACCGCACTATAAAAAGGTGCCTTGGCGCGGCTGTGCGGCTTTCACGTTTTCTGCAAAAGACGAGTATCTAAACCTCTGTTTTTAACCTTAGCGGTGAGACAAGTTTTTTTTTGCATGCCGGCTGGTGAGTGTGCCGGGAAAACTTTTTGCTGTTGTACTGTATAAAGCCCTTCCTTGTGCACCGCGCTGTATAGCTGGTGACAGATTGATGAGTGCGTTTGTCATTTGTTCTGCTCAACTGCATATACAGATGCGCAAAAACGGCAACGCCTAAGAGGCGGCCTCTTCCATCCCTGCCCTTCTCACAGATCGGATCTCTTAGGACAGTAAGACAAGGCCGAGTCATTTTGTATTTTTTATTTAAATACCACATATATATTCAAATAATATTCGGACACAACAGCTGCACGGCACACAAGTTTATTGCTAAAATTAATGCTCTACAATGCCATATAATTTAAGGTTTAGAAAATAAAAAAACAAGTTTTCCTTTATTATTACAATACACAGGGGGGGGGAGGGGAGGTGAGCCTGTAGCACACACAGTATCCGGAGAGGAGTTCCGCACCTCTAGAAAATAACGTTACAAAGCCATTTGTGTTGTTGGTACCGGTTCAGATTCCGATTCCAGGGACGTGACCTTGTCCGTCACACATCGAGTCAAAGTAAAAACCTGCAGAGGTGCTAGGAGAAAAAAAAGGGGTTTGGCCACCTGCTGCCCCTCCCTCTGGCTGCGAGGCATGCTGGGACTTTTAGTTCCCAAGCAAAAAAAAGGAGGGCCACAAGTTTTACGGATCTGCAAACAAAACGGCACCAACAAAAGGCTAACCAAGAAGTATTCGCCATGACTACCTGCGACGCCCTTGGGGGGGGAGGGGACTAAGTAGCCACTAATCTTACACACGCTTCTTTATAATAAAGTCTTTAAATTAACTCATTTTGGGGTTTTAGGATGAGAAATGTTTATTTCAAGTGGCAGGAAACCCAAAATGTGTGTCATTGTCTCTGAAATGAACAGTTCTTACCGCGTGCTCAATGTTTCCTTCAATACTATATTCTTCTATAGTAAATATCTGCTTGATCCTGTCCGAGTGTCAACACTATCCCAGCCCACCCTCAGCGTTGCCCCTCCCACTGCGCATGCTCCAGTTTTACCCCATGAGGAAGCCATGCTCTGCTCTGAGCTCTGGCATTGTAGGAAACACTCCCTGCACCCCTAGTCGTGCACGTTCCTCCCTGCTGGTCGTTGCAGACGTTAGCTGTGCACTCTGCCCTAGAAGCAGCTCCAATAGGATGTAAATCAAGCAATTGATCAGCATATCGCACAGCTAAAAAGTCTATAGCCAGCAGGGAGGAGCATGCAAGGCCAAAAAGGGATGCCGGCATAGAATGTAATCAAGTAACTGATCAGCAGATAGTGTGCCACACCACATTGCCAGCAGGGAGGAGCATGCGTGCTAAAGGGATGCCGGCAAAGAATGCAATCAAGTAACTGATCAGCAGATTGCGCACCTAAACTGTGCCACACCCCATAGCCAGCAGGGAGGAGCATGCAAGGCCAAAAAGGGATGCCGGTGTTCTATCGAAAGCTCCAACTGCCCGACTTCCGGTTACGTTAGAACTAAGCGGTTTGGCCGAGAAAGCTGTACTGCACTGCGCCACCCGTGGCATTTCCCTATACACATACAGCACAGCAATGAACCAGGGTCACATTTATCCAGCACGTTAATATTCTGAGGTGCCCCACTCAAGCGGCGGCCATATTGAGTGGGGCACCTCAGATGAATAAACGTGCTGGATTAGTGCGACCCTTAGGTCTAACGAAACCGGAAGTCAGGCAGTTGGAGATCGATTGGTTGGTTGGAGTTGGAGCTTTTCGATAGAACACCGTCATAAAAAGGTAATGCCGGCATAGAATGCAATCAAGCAACTGATTAGCAGATAGTGTGCCACACCACATAGCCAGGAGGGAGGAGCATGCGTGGCTAAAGGGATGCCGGCGATGTGTTCTTTCCTATAACACTGAGCTTCATCACACTCTTTCACTAAAACCTGCCCCCACTATCAGACAGCGAGGTACAAGGGTTGCATCACATGACTGCACCTTAGAAGAGCCAAAAAAAAAATAGTATTTGAGCCTTTGGAATTGATTTATAGCCAGTTTATGGTTTTAGGGTCTCACTTGATGCTCATGTGCAGCAAGTACTTCTGATGGGTTTACATACATGAACTATTCCCCAACCTCTTCGGTTTTATGGTCATCGACAGAGCGCCTGCAGAACCCAAGTCTCCCCTCCCCCCCGAGCTTGAAATACTGCATTGAACGCTCATTTTGCGTTTTGGAACTCAGAATTCATCATCATTCTGGTTTTATTCATCCGGCAAACTGATCGAACCAATGGGAGTTCGGGAAGAGCAAGCTGGTGTTCAACGCTCATTTGTAGAGAAGGAATGATAGATCCTGATATTGATAAATTGACCTATAACTCCCCCCCCCCCCCCCTCATATTGAGTTGGAGACCGGATATCAGTTCTGAAGATTTGTTTATAGATCACGAGTCATTTTGGTGACGAGACAAGAGGTAAACACTCGCTGGATCTTAGAAAAGGGATTCCTCCCTCACATCAGGCGTCACTTGCTCTCACGCGGCCTCACGGTAATCCGCGGTTTATTTCAATCAGCAGGAACGCGTCCACCATCTTAAACAAAATGCCTTAAATATATCAAAGGCTCCTCCAGGGGATTGGCTACAGAGGACGAGGCAAGAGAGCCTGTGATAGGAGGATACTGGTAACACTGTTCCGGGAGGAGTGGGCAGAGCCTTGAATAACCGCTGCAAGCTCGAGAGCCAGAAAAGGAAAAACAAAAACCCAACAGAAAGTTGGTGCCGAGACCCAGGACAGTTCATCCAAGTTGTCCTTCACACCCCCATCATGCTCTGCAAATAGACGGCACGGCCTCGTTGTTTAGAAGGTGGAAAGAGTCCAGTCACAGTAAAGAAGATAAAAGGTCCCAACAGAACGAGACGGTTGGCCAGGGTTGTGAGCTGCCCCCTAGTGGGAGGCGCCCGGCGCTGCAGCCTCACTCCATGATGGCGCGGTACAAAGCCGGCTCGATGTAGTCCTCTCTATACCTGGAGTTGATGACTCGCTGCCTTTTCACCTCTTGCTTCACTTCCTGCTCCGTGAAGATTTCTGTGAAGCGCATGTCGGATGCAACGGACTGCCGGGCGGGAAAAAAAAAGAAGGTTATAAAAACGGGAGACAAAAGATTAACGAAATCACTGAATCCGAGAGCTGAATAACGAAGGACAAGCAGCCGGATACTCACCAGGCGGGACTTCACCTTCTTTGGTAACTCTTCGTCCAGAGTGTACACGTCGTCCCTCTTTGCTGGGAGCTGAGAGCCGTCCTCAAACTCCACCTGAAACAAAGAGGACACTGTAACCAAGGATACGCAATTATGTAAAAACCGCAGCGCGTCAGGGTTTCCACTGCGCAAATATCTCACAACAGAGATGTATAGAAGACAGACGGGCCCCACAAATAGACAATTTGTACTAACAGTCGCAAATGAGCGGAATCCGTGCCGCTGTTACACATATAGCGTTTGCGTGCCATGCAGTCTTCCACGCGGTTCGCAAATGCTATATGTGAATGGAGCCTTAAAAAAAAAAAAAAAGGAGGAGAACTATGGGGTTAAGGCTTTTCCCCATAGTTCTCCTTAGGGTAACGGGAGGACACAAACTACCGTCCTCCCGTCACCCTAAGCTCAGTATATAGAGAACTACAGCTGGCGGTACACTGAGACACCGCAGCCGGAGCGGATCCCAACATCAATGTCGAGATCCGCCCAGCTGCGTGAGTGACAGCTGGCTCTGCCTATCTACAGCTGTACCCGCCCCCTCCCCCGTCCGATCCGCCAGTCAGCGCTGGAGGATCAGAGCGGGGAATCCAGTCCCTCCCGTCATGGCAGAGAGCCGTGACAGGATCGAGAGGTGAGCGAACGCCGGTATGTGTTGGCTCACCTCCCGATCTACTGAGCCGACCTGTGACAGTCTCATTGTCACAGGTCGGCTAGAACTATGAGGTGAGTGAAAAGCACTCCTCATAGTTCTCCTTTAAGGTGCATTATTGGGTGGAGGTGGGTCGTCATTGTGTCTGCAATACACTTTTTGATGAAGACAGCGCATTAAACATCTCCGTGTTTAGATACCAAACTCTACATTGCTTCCAAGTTTTATTTCCATTAGGACCGGGTATCGTCTTATGAACGTTGGCGGTTACATAGATTTAAAATATTATCGTGGACTTCACTTTATTGATGTAGTAATACACACAACTCACCTGGTACATCTGAATAGTGTGCGATGCGACAAACTTTGCACCATACACAAGGCCATCTGTCCAGCGGACCTGAACGATATCCCCACCAGCTGGAGGACCCAAAGTAAGACAGTCACGGCTCTGCGAAATATAAAAGAATGTAAATACATTTAACAGGATCTCCAAATATGCGACTTTTCCTGCGTATTCCCGGCATGAGCGATACAGGAAAAGGGAGAAAACAGGAGCAAGATGGACGGCTGCCAGGAGTTTTTCATTTATTAGAAAAACTACACAGGAAAGCAAATCTTCCTACAAATGTCCCCGAGAAGCTGACCGAGTGCCATCAGACAAAGCAGCAATATACTCAGCCCGACATGAAGGTAAAAATTAGAGGAGCACCGAAATGGAAATTTTAAAACCGAAGCAAAAAAAAATTGTCAGGCCGAAACCGGAAATGTTTTTTTTTTTATTTACATTTTTTAAAATCTTAATATATTTATTCATTTTTTAATATTTTTACATTGCTTTTAGGGGCTTCGGGGAAATATTGGGGGTCTAAACAGACCCCTGATATTTCCCTTTTAAAATAGAAGAGATTTAGGACACAAAGTCCTCTTTTTCTGCAGCCCCTGTTATGAACAGGAATCCTCTATACCGAGTGTTCCTGATCATTGATAACATGAGGACAGAGTGTGTTTACTATAACTACAATGATGAATGAACAGGAAGTGATGTAGAGGTGATGTAGATCACTTCCCATTCATAATTGAGGATATAGTAACCATACTCTGTCCTCAATTATCTACAAACACTCAGCGATCGATCACTGACGGCTTGTACCCGCTCTCCTCTCTGACGCGCTGTCACAGGAGGCTGAGTGAGCGATGTGGGAGGAGAGCCCAGCCTCCTGTGACATCGCTGGCTGTCTCCGCCCACACACCGCTCTGCTGGACTGTGATAGGAGGCTGAGCGGTGTGGGAGGAGAGACGCCGGCCGCTCACAGCGCTCTGCTCCCGCGGCGCTCGGCCGGCTGTCACTTTCGGGATGCGCCGATGTATTGGTCGAAACATGGCTCTTTCGGCATTATGCCAAAAGTGCCATTTTCGGCCGATAGATCGGCGCTTCCCTAGTAAAAATAAAACCGTATTGTGATCGGAACCTTTGCAGCGAGAACGGTTGTGTGCTCAGCCGCGGCCTCCAAACCTCACACACGCTTGATATCATTTTTTGCTTAAATAAATAAAGATCCTTCAGTAAATAAACCACCTTTTATATGTGCATTGCGTCTGCAATAACGAATGTGTGCCTGGAGTTTAGCTTGTGTATGCGAGTCAATACAGGATGGGCCGGCCACCTTTTGTGGGACAGTAGGGAAGGCCACACATATAAAAAGACAGGCCGGCCACCATTTCCGAGGGACTGTAGGGAGCTCACTCATACACACAATGGATATTTGTGGTCCGTGTCAGGCCCAGCTCTTACCACAATGTCCTCTGGATACAGATTGTCACTGAAGGAACCATCATCAAAATTGACCTCGTAGAATGTCTCCTTTGTCAGCTTGACCACCTCACTTTGGTAGTAGCGGCCATTCTTGTGCTTGGCGATGACGGTCTGCCCCAATACGATGTCTCTGTGGGAGTCTTTTCCCTGTAAAAAGGAGGGAAGTTGCTGCTTTAGCCGGTTCTTTGCCTATAAACCTTACAAACGCTTCCTACACGCCAAACTATAGTACATAGGAAATAAGAGAATTGCATTACTACCATTGCCGGCCTTGTTCTGAAACGACTAGTTTCCTGGCTGTCTCTAGGGACAGAGTGAGGAGAATAGAGGCCAGATGGAGGCAGAGGGATCAGAATCTAACCAGGTTTCGTCATGCCCCCTCTCCTGGGCCTGTAACCCCCACTATTTTGTTTTTTATCATGGTGGGGAGATTCATCATCATTACTAAACCAAAAAGTCCCGTTACCTCATTCGCGGAGGGTTTGTGCCTGGAGCAGGTTATGAACACCACGAAGGGCCAATCATCCGGCTGCATCATGACGCCAGCGGCCTGGGCGCAGGACACGTGAAATGATGTGGGGCATCGCCCGTGTGAGCACTGGACGCAGCACCCTGCCACCCTCTTTCTCCGCTTCTTGCAGAAAGCGCATTTCTAGAACGAAGACCGAAGAGATCAGCACCCTGCAGATGATTTCCAAGCGGAGACCCAACAAAACCAGCGCAATACATACCAGGCGGAACCTCATTAGGGGGATTTTACTGATGTCTATAGGACGCCTTGCCGCGATGTTCACAAATTTTGCTTCGGCGACGGCCACAGCACACATGACATGCACCCACCTGCCAGACACAAAGGGTCCCGGATTATTAATACAAGATTTATATAGCGCCAACAGTGTGTGCAGTGCTTTACATTGTAAAAAAGGGGGACAGCACAGTCACAATACAAATCAACACAGGAGGATTATGGAGGGCCCTGGTTGTCAGAGCTTGTACATGAAAGGGAGAGGCAAGGGATACACCGATACCACTTTAAGGCCGAGTACGAGTACCGATACTTTTGATCAAGTACTCGCAGATACCAATTACAGATACTTTTTCTTAAAGGGACAGGTCACATTTTTTCTAAAGCAATACAAACTAATGCTTTAAGGTCACTTTCTTAATATTATGATTCATGAGATGACGAGGGAGCATGACGCCGGCTTCCCGGCCAATCATAATGCCGGGCGCTGCGTCATTACACGGCGCCCGGATTTGCTAGCTTCCAATCTGGAGGCCGGGCAGCACGTCATTGCACGCTACCCGGCTTCCCGATTGGCCGGGAAGTCGGCTCCATGCCCTCTCATCACAAGTGACGAGAGAGCATGGAGCCATTCCCTGGCCAATCAGGAAACCGGGCAGCGTGTAATGATGCGCTGCCCAGCTTCCTGATACAGGAAGTACTCGTGCTAGGTATCGGAGCATTTGGGCGAGTACAAGTACTCACCCAAATACTCGGTATCGGCACCGATACTAGTATCGGTGCATCCCTAGTAATAATAACTGATGGATGAGTGAATGGAGAAAGTAAAAAGTTCAGTTAGGTGGAGGTGGGATAGGCTTCCCTGAAGAAACACCTAAAAGGCAGACGGAATATGCAATAGCTGGACAGATTGGGGTAAAGAGTTCTAGAGGATGGGAGAGACTCTGGAGGAGTCCTGGAGGCGAGCATGGGAGGGGGTGATGAGGGAGCTAGAGAGAAGGAGGTCTTGGGAAGAGTGGGGAGGATGGTTAGGGTGATAGTCTGAGAGGAGGTTGGGGGATATAGCTGGGGGGTAGAGTTGTGGATTGCTTTGTATGATGAGGTTAGTATGTTGAATTATTGGCAGAGACGGGCGGCGGACACTGAGTGGTATAGTCTGCATAGGAGGAGGGGAGTTGTATAGTGAGGGCGGCACAGAGCAAGAGATTACAATTATACATCGGGACCGAATATTACAATGCAACAAATAAAAGGTCCACAACCAAGACTCAGTCAGGAGACTTCACTCCCATACTACATACCGGTTATCATTGGCTTTCTGTAACGCTCCACCTCTTAGACAACACAAGCAGCAGTCCTAGAAGAGCAGACAGTGATTTAGGGGGAGTCATCCAAACAACAGATATAATAAAAACATGCTGTAAGTGCAGTTTAGTTGGAAGGGGCCGTTGGGCATCTTACCTGTGTGATGGCATCCTCTTCTTTTAGGCGTTCCCTAAAGACTCATCTCTTCAAGGAAGCCTATCCCACTTCAACCTAACCCCTGAACCATCACATTCTCAAACAATTCATCCCCACACAGCTCCCTCCTCATGTATCATTACTCCCCTCCCTTTTAGATTGCAAGCCCTCAGGGGCAGGGCCCTCCTTACCATCTTGAATTGTATTGTAATGTCTTCCTTACATTGTAAAACGCTGCGCAAACTGTTGGCGCTCTATAAATACTAAATAATAATAATAATACTAATACTACCCAGTGATGAGGCACTATTCCTCCCACTGGCAATGAGAAACTATTCCTTCCCTTGGCACCAAGAATGGGACACCATTACTGCCACCAAACACCAATAATGGGACACATTTCATCCTCTGACACCAAGGATGGGGCACTATTCCTCCTGCTGACAGTAACAATTGGTCTGTCACCGATCCCAGTGACCGCGCACCATTTCTTCCACTTATAGCAAGAATGCGGCATTGTTCTTCCTCCCACAGACACTAGGTCATTTTTTTTTCTTCTTTTGTACCCTCCCTCAGGTTCAGAAGTCAGATGCACTGCCAGTGTCTGAGCTCTGCCTTAGGATATTCGGGGCACTTACTTGCATGGACACACACGCTGCACTTTTTGCAGGAGATCAGCAGGCTGGTCCCATCATCTTCCAGAAATGAAGCCGACAGGTTCAGCTCAGTGTTGCAGCTGGTGGTTGTAAAGCACATCTCTGGGATAAGTGGCTTGGTTTTCAGTTGGAAAGCTACCTGGGTTGAGTCTTTCTTGCTCGGTGCTTCACTATCGGACTTAAGAGGGGGGGAAAAAAAATAATTATAAGTGAATGACGAACACAACTATAAAATGTTCCCATGTACAGTTTAGGTTATACCAAGCATTGAGGTTTAGCATGTTGTATAGCATCCTGTCCTGTATTAAGAAGGGGATTTATTGCAGAGACAAGTCCATCATTTTGCCACTTTACACATCACTGGTTCGGCCTCATCTGGAGTACACGGTCCAGTTTTGGTCACCAGTCCACAGAAAGGATGTCCTTGAGCTGGAAAGAGTCCAGCGGAGGGCAACCAAACTCATAAAGGGGATGGAGGACCAGAGCTATGAGACGAGGTTACAAAATCTAAACATGTTCACGTTGGAAGTGAGGAGATTAAGGGGGGATATGATTTTCATGTACAAATTGTTCAATGGTGACAGCAACATCGGCAAAACTGTTTACAATGAACTCCGTAACAAAGACTAGAGGCCACCACCTAAAATTGGTGGAAAAGAAATTCTAGCACAAGGGGCGAAGGGGGGTTCTTCACAGTTAGAGCCGTTAGGGTCTGGAACTCACTGCCAGAGGCGGCGATCTCAGCTAAGAATGTGGAATCAGTCAAGAAGCTTTTGGACTACGTTTGCGGCGATATGCAACATGTGCGGCACGTAGGCGCACCTGACGCATATATGCGTGTGTATGTGGGGGGGCGCGGACTTTACACACACACAACTTTATTGCTATTACATGGGCGGCTAAGAAGCCCCCTATGGGATAGCCAATTTACATGACAGGTCCTCTTTATGGAGTCTCGAGGACCCCTAATGTCACCTAGGGACCCCCAGAGAAGCTGATGAAGCAGAGATCGGCTTCATCAGCTTCTCTAGCTGGAGTGTGACACTGAATGCAGGAAGTGATGCAATATACATCACTTCCTGCATTCGGGGACTGATAGGAGATCAAAAGGGAGTTCGTGTACTGAACTCCCTTTGATCTCCTGTCACAGAGCCGTGCTGGTCCCGGCCGCATCGGGCACAGCGGATCTCGGGAACGGCAAGGACAGCTTCTGATACAAGCGTCTCGAGACGCTTGATCGCTTGACTGTAAAGCTCCCGGCCGGCCGTGTAATTACAACGGCCGGCCCGGGAAGCTGCTCGTCGGTCTCCACTGTCTGCTCGTCACAGACGAGCGGATTTTTGAGCTATATATATATATATACACATATACACACACTATAGATATATATCTATATTTTACACATACGCACACATCAGCAATAGGTTGGACTTGATGGGACTTATGTCTTTATTCAACCTCAAATACTATGTATACTGCTTGAATCCGCTCTACAATGTATTACCGATTTACAATTTAAAAAAAAAAAACTTATATTGTCACAAATTTTCCATTGTTCCAAGCTCTCAGTTCTGTGCGGCAGTCCCGCTCGTCTCTGGTAAGTGCTCACCTGATATGTCCTGAAGAGCATACACACGGCACAGTGCGGAGGGACCTGAGACATGGCCAGGTTGTATTCTCTCTCCACCTGGAAAGTCTGAGGTTTGTTCTGCCACAGTTGGCTCATGGACTTGGCCCAGGTCTCAGTCTCTTCAAACTCCTCATCCAGGACAGTCTGCTCAGGCTGGTCTGGAGGACAGAAGGCAGGAAATGGGAGTTTAACGGTAAATAAAAGCTGTAGGCCGGGTCATTAGCACTTCTACCATTGCACTGCCTTATACAAATCACATGCAGCTCAATGATATCAACTCCTAATGCGCATTGATCATTGTTCAGCTTTGAATGCACCACTAGAATGACAAGACCGTCATTTCCCTTTATCTGCTGTAAACATATGAGGATTGTGACTTCAGGAATGTATCCACGGACACGTGGGAAGGATTTACTCCCCTTATGAAGATGTTGCCATGGCCAGGTTTTTTTTTGCACCGTCCTCCAAGTCCAAACTTGTGAAGTCTGTAAGGGGCTGAACGTGATGGACTCATGACTACTTCGGCCTCGTTAACCATATATTAGCACCTACCGTCTTCACTACCGCTGTCCTTCATCACCAATGGGTGGTAACGGGGGAGTTTGGAGAGGGGCTGTCGTCTGCTTTTCGCGTTCTGGTGCTCCTGCATGTTAATGTGCTTCCCTGCAACCTGCAAGAGAAATAGGTAAATCGCTGAGGTTCACGTCATGGTGCATAGAGCAGATCCTCCAAGAAGGGGGACCAATCAGGAAGCAACGACTGCATCGCATTGTATGGCCGTATGAACATCTACAGGCTGATCTCCCGGAACCAGGACAGAAACTACAAAGCCGTTTCCAATAGCAATCTCACTTCCCCAGTTCAGAATGTAATAAAATGCGGACTTTATAGGAAGCAGCCTGGACCTGTCTTTAATAGTAATTGGTGTTTATGGTTAGCAGTGGGCGCAGACAAGAACGTCGTCATTTTTATCTGTAAAAAATAAATCAAGGTAACTGGACTCGCTGTCTTTTTCTTGAAGACGTTTAGCTGATTAGCAGACCAGCTTTCTCTAGTCAGAACGGAGAAAACTAGTCGGATCACCAGTGAAACGTCTACAAGAGAAATACAGCAAGTCCAGTTGCCTTGATTTATTTTTACATATATACCATGTGACCCGGATGAATGGAAACCTCCACAGACATGTAGTCATTTTTGTTTAAGTGCCAAAAAGGGGCAACTAAATTTGAAATGCTTATTTGTTATTTGCCCGGCTGCTGCTGAAGATCAAAACATCTTTTCTCTAAGGCCTCCTTCACACTAGAAAAGACCGGCACGTACAGCTCTGTGCTGCGTGCACGGCCGTTATCGGGCAGCTCCCGGCAAGGACAGGTGCTGCGTGATTAGTATGCAGCCCCCGTCCTCTATGGGTGAACGTGGCCGTACGCCGACCTACGCTCACCCCAAGTGCAGGTCCGTACAGGTGCGCGTTTCCTGGCTTGGATGCAGACAGTATCCATCCTGTCAGCGTACAAGTACGGACGCGCAGGGTGGGTGAGCGTACGGCCGCGTAGTCCCATAGAGAAGGTCGGGGGCTGCGTACAAAAAAAAAAAAAAAAAACACGCAGCACCTGTCCTTCCCGGGAGCTGCCCGATACGGCCGTGCACGCAGCACGGAGCTGTACGTGCCGACCTTTTCTAGTGTGAATGAGGGCTGAGGCTCCGTTCCCACTAATGCGCTGCGGTAACACTTATTGCTGCTTGTGGTGCCATTCATTCTGAAGGGATCCCCAAAGCACCTGCTTTGCACACTTCCAGCGCTGCTCACGCGTCTTTTGGTGCATTTGGTATCCCATTTAAGTGAGAGGGCTGTCATAACTCACACATGAATGCACAGCTTAACATGCGTTAAAGGACTGTGAACACCCCAGTTTAAACAGTGGATCAGGTACTGCCCTAAAATCTAGATGTAAATGACAGGTGCACTTTTTGTGTTGATATAAAACACTTGTGCCGCCTCCCACTTTTGTTTCCTTTAGTGATGGCTGCGTGGCCTTTCTCACGGCAGATTTCCTGATGGTGACAACAGCAGAGCATGCCGGTCTAACGTGTTGTAATGGCGTTTTGTCTCCACTGGAAGCTCAATGGAGGCAAAAACAAAAAGGACAAAGTGTTTTTATCCCAGAACAGGAAGTATCTGAACAAGACTTAGCAGTTCTGGTTTCTTATACATGGTTTCCATGGCCGGCTCTTACCTCTTCCAGTTCGTGTTCGGTGAAGCTTCCCATGGAGCTGGTTTTCTTCAGTACGGCAGCTTTTCCTTGCCCTTTGGGATAGCTGTGCACGCCACCCAATTTCCCAGAGCGGGATCCCTGCTGAGCGTCAGAGTCACTGTCCGATGAGGCCGCACTGTCCGCCGAGCTGTCCTGTGATGAAGAGGAGCCGTCGGCACTGGAGGATGGGCTGGCCGGGTTCGAGAATGGAGTGCAACTTTCTGACATGCCGTAATTTTCCACATTCTTCAGAGTTTCATATTGCTGCCCAGAAGAACCTGAAATAGGAGGCAGAATTTACTGAAATTTGAGAAAAGAAAAACAAAAATGTGAAGTCACTCCCCAACCAGCATGTAGAATAGAAGTTCCCGAGTATGGTGGAATATCCTTCTACCCACAACAAAAAGGTGAACTTTATTACAGGAGGGGGCAGAGACAGGACCAGTCACCCTGCACAAGCATAGAGAGCAGCAGTGAGCGGTCTTTATTACAGGAGCGGGCGGAGACAGGACCAGTCACCGGTCTTTTACAGAAAGCTCTTGCACAGAGGCAAAGTGCAGGAGTTGGTTCATGCGGGAACACTTTACATGTCAAAGAAATCCATAAAGGACGGTTACTAGCGTGTTCCTTAGGGAGCTACACCTGCTGGCTTTTTTTTGGGGGGGTGCACCGAGAGGTCTAATGAGTGAACCTCCCTTCTGTTGCTTTGGTCAGAGCCCCATAGCTCCCATGACTGTACACTACTGCAGCTCCACATCCTCCAGACATGGAATTATCACACTGCACATCCTTGAAGTCCTCGTTCTGGCTCAGCTCCTGAGGGACCTCCAAACACACCCGGTGCCGCTTGGTTCCAATGCGATGTTTGGTCACACTGATAAAGAGATGGAGATCGGGTCACACTACATTACAAAGAGCAGCAAAGTGGCTGAATGACCTAACTGGTTGTATGTATTGAGAAAGAAATGTGCATTGCCTTCCAGCTGCCCCCAGGGATACCATCATATATTCCAGGAGGAATTACTTCCCCCCCATTCATGAAATCCTGCAATCTCACAGGATGGCAACCTGTAAACAAAGACACAGCTCCAGATCCGACTGCGAATCTGTGAGAGACGGTGCCACATTATTGGGGGGCCACCTGCAAGGACCAGGAAGAGACAACTAGCTCCCAATGTTGTAAAAACAAAGATGGCGGCGTGGGACGGCAAAAGGGAACGCACACATGGACTGTTCTTTTCACTGGCAAGTGAAAGTTCCTCTGTAGTGTTCCCCTGTACGAGTCCCTTGCTGAAGATTTGTTCATCTACATCCCCCTTCCGACAGGCAGAAGGCAACACCATGCACAGCTACCACCAACAATTCAGTCGCAGGATCCAATCAGAGTGGTTTCAGATCATGTGATCACCTGCAGGCAAGAGGTCAGGCTTTACATAAAAGCCTTCAGCCTAAAGATAGCAAGGTGCCTCTGTTTAATACCATCATTGTTAGATACAATTAGAGTATTAAATGAAATATTTTTTTTAAGGGGGGGGAGGGCATTTGTTAAAGCATAGCAAGCCAAATTTGGCCTGGGCTTCGAGGAGCTTTGTCATGAAATGATTTAATCCAGAGAAACGTGTGTGCACGCGCGCTCTCACACATAAAAAAAAATTGTTGAAGGAATGTTAAATTGATTACAACGTTATCAAGAATGTTTTGCATCGAAGTAACAAGCCTCATTCTTAAAAACAGGACTATTGCAACACATCCGTTATAAATGGTCACTCTGCTATGAAATGGGCCACAGGATCCCCATTTATAATGGAAATGCCAACATGACTCCCTGGGATCATCTCTCTCTTCCTGCACACCTAGGGGTGGTCTCACTCCACCTGCTGCTTCCTTTATAGAAAGTAATCTTTATAGTGCAACTCCCCCCAATCCCATAGCCACAGCAGGTCTTGTTTGGGTTGAATTACCCTTCATCAGTCCCACCAGGGAACGTATACAGTCAATAGACCCTCTAGCTTTACTCGTCACTGACCTTTTCTTTTGATCGGAATAGTTTTGCTCATCCACAAACTCTGCTGCCTCCGGGGTGGGCTGGGTATGGTCGATAGCGGTGACGTCTTTTCCCGATTTCCAGAGTTTGTATCGCTCGGGCTGGAACTTGTGCACGAAAACATCCATAGAGATTTTCACCATGTCTTTTCTACAGGAACACTGGAAACAAAAATGGCATTGTCAGGCTTGAAGATCGGAAAAAGTTCTGTGCACCGACGAAGTGAGGCTGCCAGCAATTTACAGCCATCAGCATCTTTATGTGGATGTTAAAATCTGAACTTCCCTTCAGTCTTCTAGCTGACCTCCCCTTCAGTCTTCTAGCTGACCTCCCCTTCAGTCTTCTAGCTGACCTCCCCTTCAGTCTTCTAGCTGACCTCCCCTTCAGTCTTCTAGCTGACCTCCCCTTCAGTCTTCTAGCTGACCTCCCCTTCAGTCTTCTAGCTGACCTCCCCTTCAGTCTTCTAGCTGACCTCCCCTTCAGTCTTCTAGCTGACCTCCCCTTCAGTCTTCTAGCTGACCTCCGTCCTCCCCTTCAGGTCTTCTAGCTGACCTCCGTCCTCCCCTTCAGGTCTTCTAGCTGACCTCCGTCCTCCCCTTCAGGTCTTCTAGCTGACCTCCGTCCTCCCCTTCAGGTCTTCTAGCTGACCTCCGTCCTCCCCTTCAGGTCTTCTAGCTGTCCTCCGTCCTCCCCTTCCGGTCTTCTAGCTGACCTCCGGCCTCCCCTTCAGGTCTTCTAGCTGACCTCCGTCCTCCCCTTCAGGTCTTCTAGCTGACCTCCGTCCTCCCCTTCAGGTCTTCTAGCTGACCTCCGTCCTCCCCTTCAGGTCTTCTAGCTGACATCCATCCTCGCCGTCAGTCTTGCACAGTTGTACCGGCTCCTCTCCTCTTCCTCTGATATCACTGCACACTGGGAGCTTCTCACAATGTGCATTAGAAGCTGCAGCAAGTCAGATAGAGCCCGCCCCTCATTTCCTGGCTGGATGTCCTCTAGCTCTTTCCTCCCCTGCCTGATTGTCCCCACCCCCTTTCATTCATTGGATTTCAGGTCTGTCAATCAGTGAGGCTCAGCATCACATGTGGGCGTTACCTAGGGTGGTCGGCATGCAAATACAGCCTGCACAGGAATGCCCACTCCTCCCAAGAACACAAAAAGTTGAGGCTTGAAAAAGAGGTTAACCCTCGAAACGCCTAGCCAGCCACTGGAGACACCCGACAGTCAGACTTTGCGATCCACCCCGTCACACGGCGTTCCCCAGCCGGGTATAGCTCCTCCCACTCCTTCTCCGTTCCTGACCGACGCGGCTCGGCCAGCCGAGTACGCGGGCGGCCATATTGACACGCACCCCCAACAGACCAACCTCTCATACCACCGGGGACACCGGGTCTCGGCGACCCAGGATCTGTCTAATGAGGGCGCTGCACAGACCGCAGAGAAGCTTCCAACTGTAAGTCAGCTTGCTTTAACAGTACGGCATACACCCAGTTCTTACACACCAAGATCCACCATTTTCCCCCATCGCATAGATCTATTAGATCCACTCCATTCACGTCACTCCTGGTAGTTGCGCTCCTGTCCTTTGAGTTTTTATCTGCACTCCTCCCAAGAGCCAACCTACAGCTATTAGGACAGAGTGCTCTTGAGTACTGAGGCAGGGTGCTGTGATGTTTTCAATATGCTATGTACGGCACACTGCTGGCCCCTCCACCAACCATGATCTGCCTGCATTGCAAACAGAAGCACAGAGACTCTGGGTCTAAAAAGATTTAACGGAAGCGGAAAGGCTTTATTTAAAAAAGGTCATAAGCATGTTGATGAGAAGGAAAAGGTGGAACCCGAAAAGTCGAAATATAAGAAAGTTAAATCAGCTTCAGAAGATCGACTTCACCAAAGCTGGCAAACCTCTCTTTGTAACCTGCCCCACACCCCAACCTGCCCTTTCCTCGGTTTCTGGACTCCAGCCATCTATTGATCCGTCTGATCTCTGTGTGGTTACATTGTTTACATGTTACAGAATGCTGTTTGAACTGACATTTCCTTTCAGACCAGACCGGGCACCTACATGACCTTTGGTTGCGAGTGTCAGTGAAACATTTGTTTTCTGTATTGATAACAGCCGGCTGTGTTCTTATTAAAAAGGGAAACTAAAAATGAAGCAAGCTTCAAGAAATAGCCCTTAGGGTAGGGCTGCAGCCCTAAAGTATACATGAATATTGGAGTCACAGGTAGAATTATTCAATATGCATTTTTATGACACAAGTGGAGTCCACGGACCCCCATATTAAAAGGAGAACTGTGAGGGGGAGGGGCTTTTCACTCCTCATAGTTCTAGCCGACCTGTGACAATGACACTGTCACAGGTCGGCTCAGTAGATCGGGAGGTGAGCGAACACAACGGCGTTCGCTCACCTCTCGATCCTGTCACGGCTCTCTGCCAGGACAGGGGAGGGGCTGGATTCCCCCCTCCCCACCAGCGCTGACTGGCGGAACGGACGGGGGAGGGGCGGGTACAGCTGGCTCTGCCTCTAGATAGGCAGAGCCAGCTGTCAGTCATGCAGCTGGGCGGATCCTGGCATAATTGTCAGGGATTTGCTTCAGCGTCTCAGTATACCGCGAGCAGCAGCCTCGGGTGACGGGAGGACGCTAGTTTGTGTGCTCCCGTTACCCTAAGGAGAACTATGGGGAAAAGCCTTAACCCCATAGTTCTCCTTTAAACAATGAAGCATCACCACAGATACAAGGTCACACCTTGGACTATGCAGGTTTCTAATTCCCCATTTGAGGTGGTCCTATAGCCAATAGTGTCCCTTAAGCACCCCAAGTTTGTCATTCATGCACCCCAACCACGAGCTCCAGGATAATGGGCATGAAGGGAGCCCAAGCATAGCTATGTCATGGTGCACCGTACAAATGAGAGGCCGTAACCATGTTTAAAAACCTGGGAAGAAAGTTTTACAATTGGGAAACAGTCAAAGCCACAACTGACTCAAATCCACTCACCAGAACAGCTTGCTTCCCATACTCGATCCATCTTAACGTGGCAAAGTTGGTGGACTCGGCACAGTTAAAGCCATGATTGAAGCCGGCATGGTAACCATATGGGAAGGTGACCATGAACTGTCCGGCCTCCTGAGTGATCTAAAAGAATGGGATCACAGGAATAGATATGGTAAACGCCGCTCAGTAAACAAGTGCCCAGGTAATATCGGGGCAGACTTTTCTTCTCACCTTATCGAAGGGGATGCCGTACTTCTTCAGGATGAAGGGCGAGATGACGGTCATCTTGTGGCGGAGAAATGCTTCACAGCTCTGAGCGCTGCCGGGGAAGAAACCTGTTCAACAAATACGTAAAAAGCGTCATCAACCATGAAAGAGAACCTGGATCTGCCACGTGTGAGGAGAGGCTGTTCAGTGCATTTAAAAATGGCGGCAACATTTGTAGGCTGCGATACACTCACGCCATACAGTATTTTCCATCTGCTCTGCAACATCAATATACAGATACAAAATATACACTTTATGCCTTACAACCTGGAAAGCACTTGGCGGCTAAATAACACCGTACACTAGGGGCCCATTTTGTGGAATGTACAAGGTGTTCATTCCATTTGGGTGTGGTGCGCTGATGTGCAGCAAAAAAATCCAGCATATTTGCATTTTATTACAGCGCACCGCCCACTGTGTGGTGGTGAAAATAGAACACAAAGAAAACATTTTTTTTCCGTGTCCTAGAGGGGTCCTGCGTTGAGCCGGTGCGGTACAATGCTGGTCACCAGCGAGATGCCCAGTGCCGGAATAACACTTGCCGGGCTATCTCGCATGTCTAGACCAAAGGGGTCCAGATACGGCATTCCAAAGTCAGGATGAGGAAAGGCAGAACCAGATAAGTCACATATAGGAGACCAGCTCAAGCAGCAGTGACAGCTCTTGATGCACTGTCAGTAGAAAATAAATTCCACGAAGCAAAAAAACAAAAACGAGCTGAATAAAAAGCTTCCAAACTTTTGACCTGTCAGTGTCACCCCGCCAATGGTGTCACCCGGGTGCGGGCCGCAACCCCTTGCGACGCCCCTGGTTATGATTATCGGCTGCGAGTGTCCAACCTCCTGTAGGCAGCGGTATAATCCAAATGTTTAGGATTTCCGGTTTCCCTCAATAAATGAGAGAAATATACTTTGTGACTTTGTTAGGATAGTGGGCGTTTGTATCTCTATCCCTGAAGAGGCAGGACTCACAGCATATAGTACACTATGGTACCCAACGGAGTATGTTCATTTTTAATAAATGCATCTAAACTTGATCTGACTTCCTAATGCATGAACAGCCAACTTCTTATTCATCCTGCAGCATATACATTCATCAACATTCCAGAATGTATTACTCCTGCTGCATACAGTAAATAAATAAGCAGTGTATCCTTCATTTAAGACTTCTTAACTGGCAGGGCTTACACTTCAGCTCCTGCGTCCTCAGTGGTCAAAACGAAAACAAAAATTCTGGCTTTTGGAGGTTAATTGCATTGAACAACCCCAACATGTTAGGCTTAATTAAACTCAATATGGCAAACCCTCCCCTAGACTGGTCACATGACTCACCCTTGGCCAATCTCTCCAGTCTCTTGCCGTGCTCTGGTGGAATGGAGTACCTAGAAACACAAAATAATAAAAAAATCAGTGAGCCTATAATTTCATCTGACACTTCAGCTACAAGGGACAACATCCAGGACTGGGTTGCTCACCATGATTTGGGCTCCCCAAAGTGCAGGTAGTTGATGCTGTACAGGTCCATGTCTTCGGTGTGCCAGGCAAAGGACGTCTTCCACATACCGAAATACAAGTACGGGGTGTTCACACCCTCTATGGTGATGCCGCTCTCCCTCTCCACCACGTCCAAGATGGTGTTCAGTCGGCCGATGTTCCATTCATCCACATGCTGCAGACAAGTAGAGAACCGTGAGGAGGGGCGGAGTGCAGATTACAGGTCACATACAAATAGGGAGGAATTGATCCAATTGCCTCCAGAGTAAGAGTCATGTGCAACGTGTGACAGTATCAGTTTATAGCTTCAATGGTGGACCACCACCCATGAAGACAATTACCACTGCCCCAGTATAAAACCCACCAACACAAAATAATTCAGCTTTCAGTAGACTGCGCTACATCATACCACCCTCTCTACCCACTAGGCATGGCAGGTCAGCTATTCAAGATGGCTGAAGATGCTGAACTCAGAAGATTTTGGCACCAGCAAGGAAGCTCGCTGATACATCACTGAAGGGAAGTGAAGTATTTGCAGCCTTCAGTCCTACTTTAAAGGGCCACTTCCACCAAAGGTACATTAGTCTTTTCGGAATAGGCGCTCACCGACTACTGTAGATCGCTAGCGTTATCAGTAGGGACGGTGGGCTGGTGTTGGAAAGGGAGGAGTAGAGGAATCAATATACAGGTGGACGGTGGTGGCTATTGCCAAGCAATGACGTGAGGGTACGGATGGTAGAAGACGGTCCGTGGTTCAATGAGTAGGTGGATGATAGGAGTGTTATATACCCCCCATATCTGGACTGACCCGGGCAGAATTCAAATTCGGTGGCATATGGCTGTATACTCCTTCTGGGTGTATTAGAGTACAGGGAAATGTTTTCGGGCTTGT